GGCGGCGCCGTGGAGCCGCGGAAACTTAGAGGAAAACGTGTATATATATAAAACGTGTGAAACATGTTTTCACCAGGAAGAAACACAAACTGGGGAAAAAAACAGCAAACCTGTGGCCGTTGCTGTTATTTTTTACCATGCAGACTAACTGCAAATAGAACACCGTTGTAGCGGCCTTTACAACATATCCTTCTGTGGCGACCTTACAAAATAATTTGAAGTGTGGTGTGTATGCAGGTGGCTCCACAATTCGAATCGGTTATTAGTTGTCTGCACACATGAATTCCTTGTGGGGCACCCTTACAAAAAGGGTTTCAAGTGTGGGGGTCGATAGAATGTCCGACAAGTAAAAAGCAACTGGAAGAAAAACCGCACAAACACGATCACTTTGGAAACCCGTACAATCAAAATCAAGTCGAAAATCCCCACAACAAAATGCACCTCTTGAATATCCAGAATTGAAATCAAGCTGTAATCGGTTTACACATTGATTTTGCTTGCAATGGACTTCCAGGGGCGGCGCCGTGGGGCCGCAGAAGCGTATCAGGATAGCATGCGGAAAAACACACACACACACCTGGAACCATGATTTGACAAGGAAAATATACGTTTTTCTATGTAAAAGAGCGCAGGGCATCATGTGATTGCTAGTGATGCTTACGTGCTGCTTGAACAACAAACACAGCCACAGTTGATCTGAACCGAGTTTTCCATGTGAAAGCACATGCTTTGCTCATTCGGTTCGTGCCTTGTGTTCCTTGGCGTGTTCATGATAAGCTTCCGTGGCCCCACGGCGCCGTTTTTTGGGGAAATATATTGCAACCGAAATCACTGCGTGAATGAATTATAATTCGATTTCCTTCGTGGGGATTTGCAACTTGAATTTGATTGTGTGGATCTTCACGTGATTCTGATTGAACGGATTTGCAAATCCAATGTGGCTGTGTGACAAAATCCTGTTGTATTGTAATGAATTATAATGCCGACGCCGTGGGCCCGCGGACCCTTACAAGGGAACCAAGAGAACAACGTATAAAACTGCGCTTTCAAAAAGAAGAACAAGAACAACTGAAGAGCCACTCAAAATTCCAACGTTTTTTGTTGATGCAGCACATTAAAAAATACGAACGAACACGCATTTCCCTTAGCCTTGTTTCCAATGTTCCGGCATTTTCATTTGAAGACATATGTGTTTCGTCTGTGTCCCATGGTTGTTCATGTTTTCCTGGTAAGCGTCCGTGGCCCCACGGCGCCGCCTCTGGAAATCCATGTAAATCCATTGCAGCTCCATCTAATCTGCGGGGACCTACGACTTGAACTTGAGTGTGGGGGTTTTCAGAGTGGTTTCGATTCTACGGGTTTCCACATTTTGGTTTGATTGTGTGGCTTGCAAAATTAGTTTTACTTGCGGGAAATGCTACCGACCCCCCTCCCCCCCACACTGAAAACCCTTGTAAGGACGCCACAAACGGAATTCATTTGCACAGACTGCGACATAACGATTCTAAGTGCAGAGACCACTGCATGACCTCCACACGTCAAATCCTTTGTAAGGTCGCCACATAAGGAATCCTTGTTGTAAAGGCCGCTGCACAAGGATTCCACCTGGAGCTCATCAGCACTATAAAAAAAACGCTGGCAGTCACACTTTGCGCTCAGTGTGTCTTAGTTTCCCTTGTGAAACACACAAACGTGCTCGTCTTGCCTACTTGTTTTTTCATGTTTGCCTGGTAAACTTCCGCGGGCCTACGGCACAACCACCAGGATTCCCTATAGTTTGAACAAGTTGGAAAGCCACGCAACCAAATCCACTTCGAAAACCCCGTACAAGCAAAATCGTATTGAAATCCAACACAATCAAATTCAATTGGTTTAGTCCCCTACATGAAATCAAGTTGCAATCCATCTACACATTGGTTTTGGCTGCACGCATGTTAAATGGCGGCGCCGTGGGACCGCTGAAGCTCCCCAGGAGAACAAGAACAACAAAGAAAACATGGAACCAATTTTTTCACATGGAAAAACACGAATCCTGTTACAAAAAACGGCGGGAAACCTATGACCGGTAGTGTCTTACCTGCTGTGCCAGCAACAGCGCTGACAATCACAATTCGTCCTTACGTTTTCCAGTTTTTCCTGTACAGACACATTAACTGCTTCATGCGTTCCCCTGTTTTCCATGGTTTCCTGCTAAGCGTCCGAGGGCCCTCGGCGCCGCCACTAGCATTCACTACACATAGAAGTACCTTGAAGCGCTACACGATCTAAGTTAACCTAAAATCCAATAAAATCCACATGAACTTGAACATCCATGTTCACATTCAGCTTGTAGGCGCCAATCAAAGAAATCAATGAACAATCCATTTGCGCATTGAATGTGATTGCGATGGATGCCCCCCGAAAAAAAAACGGCACCGTGGCCCCACCGAAGCTTAACAGGAGAACGAAGCACCATGAAAAGCAGTACAACACTTGTGTTTTGATGCGGCCAAATAAGAGAAACTAAAAAAAATATGACTGCCAGCGCTTTTGTTGTATAACGCACAAAAGCACGAACAAACACATGTGTTATGTAGCTTGTATATCGATTCGTTCAGTCTGTCGGTTTGCTTACATATGGTTCTCACGTCTTTGTCATGCGTTCCTGGTAAGCTTCCGCGGCCCCACGGGGCCGCCCATGGAAATTCATTGCAAACAAAATCAATGTGTAAATGTATTACAGCGTCTGTTCATTTGCGGGGGCATGCAACTTGAATTTGAGTGTGGGGATTTTCAAATTGCTCTTGATTCTACTGGTTTGCCAATTGAATGTGGTTGTATGGCGTTTCAAGGTGTTTCTTCATTGTCAGAAACGTCACTAAACCACACTATGAAAACATTTTTGTCAGGCAGCCACAACAGGAATTCATGTGCACAGGCTGCTACATAAGCATGTTCAGTGTGGATGCCACTGCATGTTCTCCTCCCCACTCAGAATCCGTTTACAAGGTCGCCGCAAAAAGGAGTATTTGAGTAACGGCCGCTAAAATATAATTCGGATTGTAGTTCATCTGCAATATGAAAAACAGCGGCAGACACAGGTTGTCCTAGCTGAGTGCTGTCTTCCCTGTGAAAAGCCATGTGTGGTTTTTGTTGTCCCTGTTTTCCTGTTTTGATATCTAGCTTTTCTGGGCTCAAGGTGCCGCCACTGCATATGCCCCACAACTGAAACCTGTGTTGGAAGGTCGCCACAAAAAAAATCCCTGTGCACATGCTGCTACAAAAGAATTCCAAGTGTGGAGGCCTCTGCAGACCCTCTACACTTAAAATCCTTGTGTACGGTTGCAGCAAAAAATCCTGCTGCGAAGGCGTTGCACAAAGACTTCGGGAGAACAAATCAACGGGTAGATGAAAGAGAACGAAGACGACAAACATGCAGGATGAGTAAACTGATGATCCATAGCATTCCAATCGCTAGGAAATCTATCAAGCATGCCTTGGTGTAATCATATACACAGCGGGTCGGACGGGGGGGCCTCCCTCAAATGGCTCCAGGCTCCGAGCCCCTAGGAGGAACCAGGGGGTACCCCCCCACCCGGGGGTAGGGGGGCAAGAAGGGGGGAGGGCCTGGGACGGGGGGGGGGCGCTGGTAATGAAATCGAAAATGATATTGGTGGTGAGAACTATTGCGTGACGTTGGTTCCGTCTCTCCCCAGAACCTCCTTATCGACCGAATGGTGGCCGTGTAAGAAAAAACCAACTATGACCAATACACTTTGAAATCCTGATTGTTGAAGGCGTGTGAACTCTGTCAGAGTATAATACGAATGTGCTACATATAATCCCGACTCCCCGACGCTCCAATCAAATGCCCTGATCACAAAGCGACAGACCACGGAGACGAGGCGGCGACGCCGATGATGACGCGGACGCGAAGCCATTGTATGCGCCGGCAGCGGCGACGGACGATGAGCATGCTACGACCCCTAAGCCTTGCTTGGTGCTCGACAGCATGGCCTGTGCCCAGTAAGGGTGCAGACGATCATAGGCGTGACAGAGCGGACTTGTGCCCACCGTGCCCCCCCTTTCCAAGAACGATGCCCCGACGATCGCTGCCGCACCTGGCTCGCACGCGCAATTTTCTTTGCATATCGGGCCTTGCTCATCAGTTCATGGCCGTTTCGCTTTGCCACCCGCCTGTGGCTGGCTGCCCTGCTGGGTACTTCATGACCCAGCGAGCTGGCAGCTAGAATGGGAGGCCCCATGGCTCGAATATGGTGCGGCCATGACGGCGGAAAATGGCAAGGACCATGGCGGCTTGGCCCCATCAAGGGCGAATGGGGCCACACAAACAGCCGATCAGACCCTCCTGGCAAACCCTCCCGCAGCGGAAAAAAAAAAAACACGTACCGACACCGCAACACTCAACAATTTCAAAGATCAGTTTGATTGCCTTTCAGCCTCTGCCCCTTCAATGGGGCCAGGTCGCAACGGAGCAAGGCTTAGTGGCCGGGCTATAAAACATTTCGGCGCCCCAAGGCAAATCCTGTTCTACTACATTCATGCACTCCCTCGCTGCTTTGCGCTGCGGGGCTACGCGTTGATCGAGCGCTGCTGCTAAATTCGTGGAAGGCGAGGCCAACGACGAGTTAGGAGGAGGGCGGGTAGCAGAAGGAGCAGTAGAAGGTCGAGCACATTGGCAGGTCGGGATTGGGGGAACAGGCTGGAAGAGGGGGGGCAGGAGGAGTTAGCTCGATCGATGGGCGCATGAGGATGACGATGAGGGGGGGAGCGCGAACAAGAGGCGGAGGAGTTCGATCGATCAGGCAGGGGACTAACAGGGGGAGCAGGAGGCGCAGGATGAGAAAAATAAAAAAAGCTGGAAATCAAAATTCGAAAAAAATAGTATTAACAATACTAAGAGAAATAATGATACAACGAGGAGACGAGGCAGCAGGAGGGGGGCAGGGGGGGGCAGGAGGAGGTTGATCAATAGGAAGAGGGAAGTGAGCAGGAGGATCATGATGAGGTCGATCGATCGGGGACGCGGGCAGAGGACCGAGCGTCTGTGTACAAGGCTCCTGCTCCACGGTGTTCCCGCCATTGTCAGTGAAGAAAGGACAGCCAGGGGGAAGGACCACGCCCACTCTACGCCAACACCAATACAAGGCAGGCCCATCCTGGCACCGAGATCAGTGTATACGCCCTCAATTGCTGGGCCCAAGATTGGATTGGCCGAAAGCGGAACTGCTGTGTGTCTGGCGCGCCGCGACTTTGAGAACGCAAAGGCTACTTGAGAGACAGCCCTTGAAGGAAGTCCTGGCTGCCCTCGGCAGGCCCACGGGGCCGTTCTGGACGATATCAGCACCCGTCGCGGGCGGCGGCGACTCCAGATAAGCTCCTGGAACGGAGAAGAACCATTCTCATGACAAGCATCCCTGCAAACGAACCATGCCGAAAAACAAGTGCACCTAAATACGGGAAGGGCAGGGCCGTCACTGAGCGCCAAATCTGTTTTGCTTTTGTTCTTCCCTTGAGCTCCGCGCCCAAAGGGTTGGGATGCTGAGGCCGCCCTCCCCCGCGGGCATGCTGAGGGCAACTGGGACTCACATCCGGAGCGACTGCGTGTTCGCAGCCAACCGGGGCACGTAATCAACGGCGCGTCCCCGACAGCCCCCCCGCCCTCGTCGCGAAGCGGCATGCTCCCAGGCACGGTGGGCCCCTCGCGCCCCCATCAGCGACGACTGAACGATGCGGATCTGATGCTTTCCTCCCCATGTCGGTCCCCCGTGCTCTGCGCTCTTGAAGACACACAGCAGAGCCGAGTCGTGCAAGCAGACAGCAGCCGAGACACTGCCACACCGATACGCGTGAGCGCTCGGGCTGTCTCGGTTGCCTTGCCAACGTCTGCCCGATTCTCTTAACAGCTCGTATGTACAGGACTCATAGAACCATCGTGCTATCATAAAGAAAGAAAGGCGGCTATTCCGGCGACGGCGAACGTCGGCCACGAATAGGCTTCCCGACCTGGATCTGAGGCACGGCTTCAAAACCAGGGCAACTCCTGATCCCGAAACAGTGCTAATTTCAGCGCGGTTGCCGCATACCTCTTCGAGCACGTGCGATCTCATCCAGATCTGGAATCGATGGTTCGTGGCGCGTGGTCTCACGTATGGTCTCCTGCATGGTCTCCCGTATGGTCTCCCGCATGGCCTCGCGTACGGTCTACAGTCAACCCCTGTAATAAGGATGCACGATAAGGATGCAAGGGCCTCGGAAGGCCTTGTCGACACTTTGCAAGCGGGGCGCGGCCAGCGATAGCGGCCAAGGATGGCCCGAAGGGCAAGGATGCAAGGGTAACCTTTGAAAATTGTTCGTGCTGACCTTGCGGGTTGACAATCTGTTTGTTGCGTCCTGCTCCTCAAATGGCCGGGCCCACCATGGTTGCTGCTGCAGCCATTCAAATGGCCTCTCTGGGCGCCCGTGCTTCAGTCTCCCTGCCGCTTACTCGACGTAGTTCCAGTTGGCCTGGCCGAAGCTTCGAAAGCCCCGTCTCCTCCTCCTTCTCCTCCTCCTCCTCCTCTCATCATCATCATCATCATCATCATCATCATCATCATCATCATCATCATCATCATCATCATCATCATCATCATCATCATCCACCCTTCCTACTCGTACTGCTCCGCCACCTCCTCCTGCTCCCCAGTCCCACACATCCAACGTCAGGTTGTTGTGTCACAACGTGGCTCCCTGGGGGTCAGGACCCTTTCACAAACATCGGTCTTTCGTCTTGAATCGCTTCTGACTGTGGTGGGGCCTGGCTGCGTCCTTGCGTGATAACCTTGCATGATTTTTGCACGACGCGAGGATGTCAGGGTTCCTGCACATCCGCCTCGTCGCTTCCACCCTCCTGCTCAACTCCTGATGTGTTTCCTGAGCGTGCTCCTCCCGATGGCCAGGAGCGCGCCGCCGCGTCCCAGGTGGGTGGATGAGGGCTCTGCCTCCTCTGCCCCCACCACAACATCCGCCGCCGCCCGGACCACCTGCAGCCGAGCGCCCGGGTAAACGACGAGATGCAGGTCAGCAAGTTCTTGATACTCCCCTCGTGCTGCCACCTCTGAAGGGGCCCTGAGAGACACAAATAAATACATAACAATAAAAAAAGGTTCCCCATCTTTTCCCATATTTTCTGGGTTTTTGTCCTCCCCCCCAATTCCCATATTTTCCCATATTTTCTTGGGAATCGACGATTAATAATTGTGTCTGTGTGTTTTGTTCCCCTCCTGAACCTCGGCCACTGGGCTTGCACCTTCGTCGCTGGCTACGCTGCTGCTGTCGGGGCCACCTGAGGGAGTTCGGGGACCAATAGCCGGAGCTGATGCGTCGCCCGCTCCGTCGCCTGCCGTCGCTGCCGAAGGACCACAAGTGGGAGATCGTCTGAACCGTTGGAGGCGGTCCACCTCGGGCTCTGGCAAGGCCACGACTCGCCGCGAGAAGCACACCGCTGTTGAAGGGACGTTCGTGCACTGGTCGCACGGTCCTCCACCGCTGCCTGCCTCAGTGGGACGCCTCCGTTCGACTCAGCCTGCGAACAGCCGCTGTCCTAAGAGAGGTGGTCGCCAGGCGCCGCGCATTTAATGCTCTCCCGGCTGACAGCTCAAACAAAGGCAGGTTAGAGCTGACCATAAGCTTCGCCAGTACCTTTGTCCTCGGCCTTCCCCCGTGCCTGTCTCCATGGGCCGCCCCCAGTCGCGTTCCAGATCCCCTCGTGTCTCGACGCGTACGAGCGCCGCCGACGTTCGCGCCCGCAAAGCTCGCAAAGCTAAGTCAGAGCCAGACCCGCTCGACACAGAGCAAGCGCAACTAGAGCAGGAGCAGCTTGACATGCAGACAGTGCACTCCGATAACTACGCTGATGCACAGCCTACACGTTCTGCTATGGAGCGCGCTGACCGCGCTGTCTCGTCCTCATTGCTGTCAGGGAAACACGTTGCAAACGTGAAAGCTCATCAGGGGCTGCGTGACGGAGACATCAAAGCGTATCTCCAGACAAGACTGGCTGGATGGACTTTCATCAAGAAATGCCGTCCAGCATGGCGCGCTGGCAGAACATGGGAGGCCTCCATTGACCGTGCGAGATGCTTCTCAAGCCCCTGCTCAGCGACCAGCTGCCAGAGCCGAATGTAGGGGAGGGCGTTGGCACTCCGCATCCTCCGACTTGCAAATCTTGAAAGGAGAGATTGTGGCCCGTGCCGCGAGCTAGCAGAGGGTTCTCCCATTGTCTCACATGCGTTCCCAAAGGTCCACTGGCGCGCTATCTGCGGACACATCGCGCACGATGGACCGTGGCGCAGTGCCAAGATGTGGAAAGCAAGCAAAGGATTTAGTTGCAATGCGTGGTGCATTGAAGAATATCCCCCTGAAGACGAGGATACTCTGCTCTCTTGGTTTGCTCCCGAAACGCAAGGATTGCCCGACATCTTTCCAGAACCTGGCAGCAGCGGCCGTTGATTTCACGAGTGCCTTCTGCAAGCCTACCCTCGCCTCGTTGACTTTCTGTCATGGCTTTGTTGATGCAATTATTTCCTTGCGTGTCGTAGGTCTGTCCAAATCTAGGCTTGTCGGCTGTACTCAGGAGTCCTACCCGCGCTTATTGCCCCTACCACCGCACTCTGTCCGTTGCAGCCTTCAGTTCGTCGTGCGAGGAGCCATTCAATCAGACAATGCCATCGTGAGCATTCGGCGCGTTCGCCTTTTTCTACGCTACTGGATGCAATACATTTCTTGCGCGCTGTATGTCTGTCCAGGTCTCTGCTGGTTTGCTGTCCTCCTGGCGTCCTATCCGTGCTGATTGCTTTGCCACTTTCGCGCTATGTTGGTTGCAGCCTTCAGTCCATCGTGTGAAGAGCCTTCAGTCAGGCAGTATCGTCGTGAACATTCGGCGCACTTGCCTCTGTACGCTACTTGCTATGGCGCATGTACTTGCTCGCTCGGCGTCTTGGACACCCGGGTTCTCTAGCTTCGTCCTGGAATCGACGCAGGGCCTGTGACAATGCTACCTGCGATCAGCCTGTCTTCACTGTGGCGAAGCTTCTCTTTGAGGCTCGTGGCCACTTCCAGTGGCTCAGTGCTGACTGTCCAATCTTGTGTTGCAGCGTTGGGGTTCTGGGCATGGGCATCTCAAACGCTGGTCGCCTGTGGTATATCTACGCTGCCTCAGGCCCCCTTGCTTCTGGTGCTCCGCCCGCTGGGCCTCCGAACCTCCCACTCCCTCCTCTCTCCGGGTGTGGTCTCACGCCTGGGTCAGGGGCTCTCGTCCGCAGGCTCTTTTCTTGCACTGACGTTATGCATCGTGCCTTTCGTGTCGTGCCCTGCGATAGGCTGACAATGAGCCTCATATGGATCAATACTGAAGGATTCCTCCTCCTCCCCTCCCCCTCCCTCGCCTCCCCCTCCCCCACTCCTCCCCCTCCTCCCCTGAGATCTGACGTTTCGAAAAATTGCAGCACCGCAGAAAATCACGATCGGACCCCTAAACCCTATCTTTCGGTGTTTTGTGTCGAGCCGGATCGATCTTGGAGGCTCCCTGGGCCCGAAGCCTGCGAAAACGCCCTGGGTAAAAATATTGCAACGCAAGGATCTCAGGGTCACCCTGCCCCCCCTCCACCTCACCCTTCTAGAAAAAGAGCAAACGGCATTTCTCGGATCTGCGCTGCAGCCCCTTCCCTGGCGCGCGGGGAGTGCCAGGGGCGCGCTGGAGGCGCCGCCAGGGGATTCCAGCGCAGAAATCCTCGCGGAGCTCCGAAAATTTATGTATATGCCGTCTGTTCGTCTTCGACCCTCTCCGTCCATCCAATCTCCTTTCACGCGACATCTTCTCGTGGCCCCCGCCAGGCGTGTCGGCGGGGCGGCCTGGGCGTCTCCTGCGACTCCCTGCGCTTCTTGCCGCGCGTGCCCGGATCGGGGGCAACCAGTGTTAAACGTATGGCTACGGCAGGCTCGTGTCGACGTGACGACCCCAGCGTTGGTCCCTGACACCTGGGGGATCGTTCAACTCTGAACGATCGGCCGTTCCGAAACGTCAAATCTTTCAACATCAACCGATTCTGGATCGCCGACGGACTTCAACGTTGAACGCCGGCGGCTGGGGCGCCGCCAGTCGACACGACGCGAACCTACCGGACCGCTGTAGCCTTCCCCACGCATGGTAATCCTGCCTGTAAATCCAACAACATGCACTGATGGAGGGCGATCGTTTTCAACGTTTGATTTTGGCGGCGAGCCGGGGGGTAAGTGAGAAGCGGCGGGCCTTCTCAGCAGGCCCAGAAGTCCTTCAGCTTCTGAGGAGTTTTCTAAGCCTCCCCGAAGACACAGAACACTTTTCAAAAGGCACGCGGGCTTCTGAGAAGCCCCGCCGCCTTCTGAGAAGACCTTTTCCTTCCCACCTCCCCCCCCCTCGGCCGCCGCCGATTAGCCTTCCCCAAGCGTAATTACCCTGACAATGCAAGTCCAACAACTTGCGCTGATGGAGGGCGATCATTGTCAGCAGCTGAGTGTAACGGGCGATCTCCCCCCGTGACATGCCACTCTGCTGAAGCAGATGGTGCACAACTGCTTCACGGATGGACTGCAATGCGTTGTTTCAAGATCGGGCTCTGGCCCAATACGCCCCTACATGGTATAACCCTAAAGCTGTGGAGCGCCCAACATATACATGATCGGATGGGGGTCCCCTTTCAAAATAGGGTGTCCGTCGGATGCTTCTTCACATATCTGGACATGAAGCGCGAAGTTCAAGGCATCACACGGACGGATGGATGGCGCCTGCTTGCATGGCGGCAGCATTGCAATCCCATGGCCCGTTCCAAACACCCTGAACTCGCAAACAGTGGCATTCTTTTGGGAAGGTGACGACGTTTCGGGGATCTTCTGACCCGGGTCAATCCAAACCCAGGTCAGCAGGAAACCAAAAACTGCAATGCAGGACAAAAAAACAGCAACGCAGGTCCTCGCAAACCCGGGTCAGCCAATACGCGCGGCCGCCTCGCGGCCACGAGCGGCTCTCTAACCCGGGTCAGCCAGGGGGGGCCTTCGCAGGATCCTGCAAGATCCGGTGCCCTGGCTGACCCCCGTTTGTACCGACCCCCGTCTCTTAGGCCCCGAACGTTTGCGTTCGACCGCTATCACCGGCGGAACCGCTGCCCCTGGCTTGCCTCCGCCAGTTTTCTGCTGAGGGAAAGATGTCGACGGTCGGATCCTGCGACCCTCGAGGGGGCGGCCCTTTGTGAAACGTCTCACACGGGTGCACTGTCGTCGTGCTGACATAAGGACTGGTGAATGGATAAGGGGAGAATGTGTCTCAAAGCCAAATCGATTCGAATGTCCTCCTGAAATTCTCCATGTATCCTCCCTCCCTCTGTTCCTGGACATGTTTCCTCCTCCGCCTCCGCTTCCCCTTATGTTTGTTCACTGGCCACTCCATCCCGAAGCAGAAATGATGATGATGCCTTCGACGATGGTGATGCTGATAATGGA